AAAACAATAAACAACTTTTTAGAACAATATAAAACTGATTTAAAACATTGTGTTTTAAAATACTTGCCATCCTTACCGGGCACAATCCTTAATAAATTAAATAGAAAATGTCCGGTCAAAATGTAATTGAAAGTCCGAAGTAACATTTTCCCTTATTGCGTCATTGGATGGATTTTTTGAATTGTCATTACCAGAAGTGGTGCTGTCTGTGCCACCAGTGGTATCTTGTTTTTCGGTGACTTTTTCTGTGTTGATTAATCAATTTCCGGTTGGGCGTTTACCTCAAAATTAGGCCGAGTTGCATAAGCTTTGTTAAACGTACGTACATAGTTTCGCGAGAATACAAAGCACCAATTCAATCATATTTTAAGAAAAAAAAAAGTAATCGCGAGATGATAGGTTCAAAATTTCCTCATTTGCTCCGAGTTGATTTATTAGGACCTTGCAATTTAAAAATAATTTCGCAATGGAAGTAACGAAATAAACGCTAGAAAAGAGGCCCTTCATGAATTATGTAAATTATAAATCCAATTCATTCTGTAATCTGATTTTTCTTTATTTTATATATTTTCAATAGCTAAAATGTTAGATCACGGAGTTACTATCGCTATCATTATTACTTGTTATATAAAGGGAATTAAGAATTTTTAATTGACTTCAGTTACTAAAAAAAAATATATATATTAAGAAATTAATAATAGTGTCGATAAGTGTTTTAAGACTTCAAGTCATGAACTTTTTTATACATAGGACAAACATTAAAGTTGAATTAAGCTTAGTTATGTTTCTAAATTTAGGATCTTCTAACAACATAATTAACAATACTAAATATTAAATATATTTGGGAATATATATCTTAAATATTTCAATCAAAACAAAGTATACACAATCGGAATTTATAAAGTTTAAAGAGTATTTATAACGAAGGCAGTCTTTTAATTGCATATTTTTTGATACTAGATACATTAAGTTAAGCTACTTATGATCAATCCACTCCGTTCTGAAGTTGTACGGGCTTGTGGGAAAGTCACGTTGCTCGTACTCCATTTGCCACGTATATTTACATCATTATTACCTTTTCAAATTTTGCAAGAATTTACCGCAGTATTACGCATAATTGAAATGACTCATGCCGATCATATCCATCAGGTTATAAAGTAGCCACAAACAATACGGCTAAAACCGACTTCAGTTACTAAAAAAAAATATATATATTAAGAAATTAATAATAGTGTCGATAAGTGTTTTAAGACTTCAAGTCATGAACTTTTTTATACATAGGACAAACATTAAAGTTGAATTAAGCTTAGTTATGTTTCTAAATTTAGGATCTTCTAACAACATAATTAACAATACTAAATATTAAATATATTTGGGAATATATATCTTAAATATTTCAATCAAAACAAAGTATACACAATCGGAATTTATAAAGTTTAAAGAGTATTTATAACGAAGGCAGTCTTTTAATTGCATATTTTTTGATACTAGATACATTAAGTTAAGCTACTTATGATCAATCCACTCCGTTCTGAAGTTGTACGGGCTTGTGGGAAAGTCACGTTGCTCGTACTCCATTTGCCACGTATATTTACATCATTATTACCTTTTCAAATTTTGCAAGAATTTACCGCAGTATTACGCATAATTGAAATGACTCATGCCGATCATATCCATCAGGTTATAAAGTAGCCACAAACAATACGGCTAAAACCGACTTTTTTGACATTTCAGTCTCTCTTTTTTTTTTTTTTTTTTTTTTTTGTCAATTCTGCTGTTTTTACATTACTAAATTATAATCAACTATATATTAAACCATTTCGTCTTCATTATTAATTTATTATCATCTACCCTTTTTCTTAAAGTCTTATGCAGAGTGTATCGTCACAAGATAAACGTACAATTATTCAAATAGTCGAAGAAATATATTCAAAAATACAACCTATTTTACACCCATTGGATGCTTCGGATCGAACTTTTGTTGCAATTATCAAAGCACTGATTTCACTAAATAATGAACCAACCAATCCCAGACAACTTGCGGCATGTATTCAAAAACATGGGTTCACGACGTTAGGGTAATTTTCTTCTCGGCTCGATTTTATATTATGTGATCCGGTTGTTATATTTTTTAATTTTTGAAAATTTTAGCGGTAATACTCCGTATGCTACAGTTTCTGGTCACATATCGACCCATTTTACTCGTGTACGAAAGCAATTAGTACCTCGCCCGGTTCTTGGAAAAGTTTCTCATCCTACGATGACAAAAAGATTACTTTACTATTTATTAGACCCTGATGATATTTTACGAGAACATCTTTCTCGTTACTTCCCATTCAATGAAACTTCTATTTCACGACATTCTCAACGACCTATTTCACCGCCCTCATCGAGGGAAGGTACTCCACGATCATCATATGAAACCGCATCAATTACCGAGAATCAAATGTCTGTAGAGTCACCATGTCAGTTAATAGAAGAAACTCATATACAATCTGAAACAGGTGTATCTTCACCAAAAGAAAAGTTCCAATATGAAAATTTTGAAAAGCCTTCAAAAAACGAATTCCGATTTACGGACGAAAATGAAAATTTTGAATCATTTACAAAACAGGTGACTTCAGCGATACAACATGAAGCGGCAAATGTTGAAATGGATGTTACTTCAACTACTGTAGAAAGCTCTCCAAGCGATAAGTTGCTTGAAAGTGCTACTGAACCAAGTACGAGTGCAACTAATATTTTAAGTGGGAAGAAAAGAAGAGCCGAAAATGGAGAGAGACATGAATTAGTGTCACAGTGTTTACCTAGACCAACTCCTGTTTATCTTACGTTCCCACATTACATATTGCCACCTCGTCGACCACGAAATCTGAGCTCACCTCGGGTTCCGCTTTCACCTGATATTCGCATGGTCAAAATAAATGGCTTAGAGGTTTTCTCCACAAAGATTAAAGTGGGAGAAACCGAAGTTCAAATATTACGCCGCGTTGATACAAATTGTGTTGATAAATTTTCTTTAATACAAATCGGTGAGCGCAAGCCTCGATCCACAGATAAAAGATGGTAAGTTGTTTCAACATTAATTTCATTAAAATGACTTATTATAGATGCATTAGAAAGCAATTATAGATGCATTAGAAAGCAATTAAATATGCTTGCATGTACATAATAGGATTACTTTGGAAGAAGCACAAACATTAGCGGCAAAGTTAAATATCGAAGAAAAGCTTGGCAAATTTCTTGATCCAAGACTTTTCGACTATTTTGACGTTGATTTAGATCTTCCGGTGCCAACCGGAACATGCTGTGGGCCATTAGCGGGTTTCGCTTACTGGTTTCAGTGCGTGAACCCTAAAAAAATTTTTCTGGGTTGAAGAAACGTTAAAGAACCATTGAAGTAGCGGAAAAATATTAAACATTCAAACATTTTGTGATATCAGGTATTGCTAATCCAAATAAACGCCAATATGAACGTTATAATATTTAGACTTACAAAAAGTGTATTGGGGACGAGATGAGGTGTTCCCATTTCTTGTAATAAAAAAAAAAAAAAAAAAAAATGAAAATGAAAAAAAAAAAAAAATGAAAAAGACAATGCTTAACTAAATCTAGTCATCAAAATAAACTCGAATGAGTATTTAAAATATACTAGTCAAAGTTTGTCAAATATAATAGAAAAAATTTGGCTTTATCTGTTAGGTGAGGTTTCTCGATTATTTAATGACTAGTATTATATTATCGGTTCAATACTTATTGTCTTTTTTTTAACAGTTTTATTCTCAAAGATTGCAAATGTTTAAAAAAAAAATTTTTTTTCATCTTTGATTTTATTAAATTGTCTCTTTATTATACACTGGCTATCATAAGTAGTGCAACAAAAAAAAAATTTTAGTTAGATCATATTATCTCACGCAATTCCGGGCGTATTTGTTAGTTTTTTTTTTTATTTTATTCACAAATAGTATCCTTTTTAAATCGTAAAATTTTAGTAGTCGTTATTATTACCAATGTAAAGATATTTGTGCGTTTATCACAAATCACGTGTTGCATTATTTTTGCTCGTTTTTGGCAAAGATCAGATGACACTTACTGTACTACGTAAATGCACGTCAGAACGGAAATTCATTGTAATTCTTGCAATCTCTGTACTACGGTAAAACATCCGATAAAGTTTTAATGAAAAAGAAAATCATACAACTATAGTTCAAATGAGCCCAAGTTTCTTCTTTGCCGTAAAAGTGGTATACACAAAGGTGATAGGTTGGATGCACGATATTAGTTTCTTTGTGGCCTCTTATACCAATAAAAGAGACTGGAATATCGTGCTTGTGAAGAGTTGGTGAGAGTTTGTTGCTTACCTGCTGGGGTAAACCAACCCAACTAGGAATCTCAAAGTAAAACACCTTCTGTCACTATTTAACGTTGCCTGGATTCACAAAAAAAATGCAAAAATTATATTACTGGAAACTTATCTAAGGTAACTTGCTTCAACAAA